CTGTTTATCAATCATTACTAATTAATAGCATTGAACTATCAAAAGTTCATATCATCAATCATCATGGTACTATGACATTGATAGAATAGTGGCATATGTTCAACCACAAGATACAAATTACATGAATAGCAAACCACTTGATATTAAGAAAATCCTTGAAAAGAGATATATAAAATATTGGGAGAAAACTGTCAATGATAATAAAGGGAAATTAGAATTTTTGAATAATATCAAACAACGATGGGGAAAAGAACGATATTTGGATTTAATAAAGAACGCTGAACATAGGAATTCTATGACGCGATTAAGAATAAGTGCACACAATTTAGAAATAGAGCGAGGAATATATACAAGACCAATAATTCCGAGAGATCAAAGAAAATGCAAATTATGTAAAATCAACACTGGTACGGAAACTCATTTTATTTTTGAATGCCAAAAATTGGAAAAAATGAGATATGAATACTTTGATACTTTTAACTCAATTTGCCAAATCTAACTGTATTGACTCCCGAAGAAAAGGCGTATTATATGTTTAATGCTGAGTAGTAGATGGGTTAACTACATTTTAGGGGGGTCTGGACTTCAATCTATGATGCAAACGTTTCCTTTGACATGAGAGTACCTTAGGACCATAGAATCAAATTTATCCAAAGACACACGCCAGATGGCGCTTTATATTGGAAACATTCAAATTTTTCAAAATGGCCACCAAAAATATAACAGAGACAATATATTTTCTTCTATGCATACTATAATGATACGATTGGTGCCTAAATATACATTTTGTGGGTGAAGAATAAATTTACTATGGGTTTGAGTCTTAAAAATTTGGAACTTCCTCTTTATATCAACAAATTATGCCTTTTTCAAAATGGCTGGCAGATATGTAACAAAGATGATATCTTCACTTGTATGCATGCCACAATAGTAAGATTGATGTCCAAGTATACATTAATGGATGGTAGAATTCAATTGATAAGGTTTATAGTCTTTATTTTCCCAACGAAGAAAGTTCAGTGGGGATATAGTGAACCCCTCCGTCCGTCAGTCTGTCAGTTCATCGTCTGTCTTACAGTATGTATGATTTTGCAATTATTGTCAGATTCCTTCAAAGTATGGCCATATGTAATCAATTAAATTGAAGATGGTGTTAATTTTATGATTAATGCCTCAGAAAATTCAAAATGTCCCAGAGAAGGAGTTGATTAGCTATTACTTACTAGATATGTCGTCAAGATATGGTTACATTAAATTAAGTTAGATCTCAATTTTTTATTGTCTAGTAAATATAATTTTTAGTATTGACTAAATGGTCACCAAAATGTTTAAATCAGCGGAAATTCTGATATTGTACTGTTTGTCTATTAGTGAACAATCATTTTCACTTTTTTTTTTGAAAATGTATGCCTTTTTTCAATGGCTGTGGAAAATATTACAAAAAATTATATCTAACAAGGCCTCTTAAACTTTTTCAAAAGTAGAATAGTTTGAAAGTGTAGTTTTGAATATCAATTTGCGATGACGGAAACTATGCTGAAAACAATGGATAGCATGGGAGATGTGATTTTCAACTTTTTAAATATCTTCCCCTTTTAAGTAATTCTTGATATAAAGTAAGGCAACTTTTAATCGAGTGTTTTAATTGAGAAGAACAAGATCATCCTTTTACAAAATAAGCCTATCATTTTAGAAAAGTGCCAAGGTGGGATCCTAATCCATAATTTTCCAGAAAGTTGGATTCATATTTTACAATCATGGGGACTTCACTTGGAATAAAACACATTGTTTTAATAATGAACACTGTATTTATGGCCAGGAAGTACTCATTGTGAAAGACATATTGCTGTTTAAGATCTTAAAATCTTAATCTCTTAAATGTTCAAATGAGAAAATAAGAATATTTTTCTCAATATAACAATATTCAGTGCTGTATGTGTGTACATACATGTCTTTTACAAAATGGTTGCCAATCAACAACAAGTTTAATAGTTTGTTGGTTGGATTAGTGGAAGACTCGGTAAACAGTCATAATTTGGTCAGCGGAGATGAAGAGGGTTCTGCAATACTGTCATAATATGCAACCCTTGAAATCTATTCCGATCTTCAAGATTTTCTCTCGCCAGAAGGTTTCTGGCCCTTTCTAACTATAGGTACATATGTGTGTCTGTCCTGCGTGGTTTCTATCTATCACATTTCTCTCTAATATATGTTGCATTGCAACTACCATTGCACTACCATTGCAGATGCATGTTTATTGCAAGTTATTAAAAAGACACTTGTCTTTCTGGTGAATTTGAGTAAAAAGAACATTGAAAGATAACTACACATTTGCTGTGTTAAAGGCGAAAACTATTATTTTTAAGGCTCATAATCCAATCTGCTAGATGCGAGTAGTAACAATCTTTATTTTTGTCATTAAAAATTCAAAATTCAGTCTAATTGATGTTGAATTTGGAATCGTCATGAAAAAATACATCAAGAAATGTGGTTCTGAAATGAGTCCATCAACTTTAAAATTGAATTTTCTTCGAAAATGTGACATTTACGTCAGGGAGATTCCCCATAGTCCCCATGTTGTAAAACACAAAAAGTGAAATATATTTTCTTGTGTTGTGCAGATAATAATTTCTTTAACTGGAGATATTTTAATTTGTACAACTATCAGATACAAAAGACTAATATGAAATGTGAACCACTAAAAATTAAGAATATTCAAGTTTAAGGGGATTTTGTAATACCCTGCAATGTTATTTTACCCGAATTAACCACCTGGTGGGGAAAATGGTAACTACCTACTTGCATCCGAGTAATTAAATAGATTTTACATTCCCAAAAATGTAGATGATGCCAATTTTATGAAATATTATGCCCAGAAGTAAAGAAACTTTTAGCAAAGATATAATTTTTGTTAGCAAAGATACAATCTTTGTTAGCAAAGGTACAATCTTTGTTATATTTTCAGCTGTATATATTTCCAATATAAAGTGAAAACTATAATCTCACAAGACTTAATAAAATTGATTCTCCTACCCCATAAATATAAAATTTTGACACCAATTGTATCAGTGTAGCATGCACTGATGTGAAGATATCATCATTGTTATTCTATTTCTGGTGGCCATTTTTAAAAACACATAATTTCCTATAAGGTGAAAATTCTTATTATGAAAGACCTATTTAAATGGATTTTACAACTCAATATTAATGTATACTTAGACACCACTCTTATCATTGTAGCATGCTTAGAAGCGAAGATATCTTTTTTTGTAATATTTCTGGCAGCCATTTTGAAAAATGCATATATTTTGGATATAAAGTGCAAGTGCTGAACTTACAAGACTCGAAACCTAATTAAATAGATTCTACAACTACATTAGTGTATTTTTTGACACCACTCTTATAATTGTAGCATGCACAGAAGCAAAACTATTGTCTCTGGTGTATTTTTGGCGGCCATTTTGAAAAATGTGTATATTTCCAATATGAAGCGCCATCTAGCTTGTGTCTTTGGATAAATTTGTTTCTATTGCCCTAAGGAATGTCCATGCCAAAGGGGACATTTTGTAAGGTAAGATATCTTAATTTGTAAGTATTCGTAAGGCAAGATATCTTCTTTGTTATATTTCTGGCAGTCATTTTGAAAAACGCGTATATTTTGAATATAAAGTGAAAGTTCTTAATTTTCAAGACTCAAGATCTAATAAAATAGATTCTACGACTACATCGCTGTATTTTTTGACACCAATCTTATAATTGTAGCATGCACAGAATCAAAGATATTGTCTCTGATGAATTTTTGGCGGCCATTTTAAAAAATGAGGATATTTCCAATATAAAGCGCCATCTAGCTTGTGTCTTTGGATAAATTCATTTCTATTGCCCTAAGGTACTTCCATGCCAAAGGGAACATTTGCATCATACAATGAAGTCCAAATGTAGTTAACCCATCTACTAGAGGGTAACACGTGTATCATCTTTGCAAAATACCTTTTGAAATAATTGAAAAGAGATCAACTATATCAACAATATAAATATATACATGTAAGCTAATAGTATAGTAGTGGTTGGTATATATCTAATGATCAGTCAATATCATTATGTTGTCACTATATGCCATTTAAAATTTGCAATGTATGTTATTGTAATTGTATGTATAGTTTTATTTTTTATTTTATGTTTATTTGCTGTACGCTTACCCGAAAGGGATTTCTAGTACAATAAAGCATTGAATATATATATAACCACGAGGCAGTGAGGGGTAAACCCCATATAGCCCAAAACCATGATCTAACGTGAAACGAAACAATGTCTAATACCCCCTTTCCCCCCACCATTCAAGAACCAATATCACAATACAAGACCAGAAGACCAAGGGACATTACATTCATACTGAAGTCATTACAATTACATGTTGAAAAAATTAGAAATTGATAGCCAATTGATAGCCAATACTCATAACCTCAAAAATAGTTGTAGATACAAGTATACTCATACAAGATAGAGCATTCAGTCTCAAATGATGTGGGATAGATAAATAAATCCAGTCTCCAAGTCCATAGGCGTTTCAAAGGGTCAACATCCATTCACAAAAGAAAGAAAACCAAGATGGAAGAACTTCCGGGCTTCGGTTTCGGTAAGATATTTTTATTTCTCGATTTTACACCACTTACAAGTCAAGTTGTGGACAATAATTTTGCTCAAAGTTAAGGAAGATAGTCTAGTTTGGCAATTGGCAATATCCATGAAGATCGTCAATGTAACAAAAGCGAGGGACTAAATATGTGAATTGCGTCTTCGTAATATACCGAACATAGAACCGCCTGCATATTCTCAAACTAGACTATCTTCCATAACTTTGAGCCAAATTATTGTCCACAACTTGACTTATAAGTGGTGTGGAATCGAGAAATAAAAATATCTTACCGAAAACGAAGCCCGGGAGTTCTTCCATCTTGTTACGCTGACGTATCGTCAGCGTAACTAGGTGAGTACAAGTGTTATTCATGCAGTATAAAATGAAATCATTCTACAAGGCATACTACCAAGCGGATATTGACTACGAACGATGTGAGGTGAAAAAACTTTACGATTCCGAAAGCTTAGACCAACGCTTCTTTTGGTATCTGATACAACAAAGTAGGAAACAATCAAATACATCTGATCGAATCAAAAATGGCGTAATATTCAGTAACCAAGAAGACGTGTGCGAAGTTTGGCGAACGCATTTCAAAACACTGGCAACACAATTGGAAAGCAATATGTTCGACAATAATTTCAAAATTGATGTGAAAATGACATAGAGCAATTTAGATAGAGATCCTATGATGAGCCAGACGATTTTCTGGATGAAAAGTTATCCTATGCGGAAATCACAGATTCACTGAAAAAGATGAAACCAGGCAAAGCTACTGGAATAGATAATATATCAATGGAACACATTTAATATGCTGGTCCGACTGTATTGAAAATACTGTTCTGCTTATTTCAGAACGTTGTCGACAATGAATACGCCCCCCAAAACTTCAGAACGGAAATACTTATCCCCCTCATCAAATGAGGCGTGCGAGACCACTACTCATCACAGGGGAACTAAGTTAATGTCCGTAATCCGGAAACTCCGCAACAGCATACTTCTTTCTCGATATAAACCGAGACTGTTAAGTATTATACCAAAACTCCAAGGTCATGGAAGGATGCTCGTCATTGCATACGTCACTACTTTTACATGAAACAACAGACTATAACACGCCACGAGGGAGCACAGTACACGTTGCACTATTACACATTCAGACCGCTTTTGATACTTGCTGGATTAATGGGCTGTTTCACAAATTTTATGTCAACACTAGGATCAAGGGAAAACTATTGAGACTCTTCTGCGACTCGTACTAGAACTAAGGCTACTGCATCGTGCGGGCAGCAGGAACAATGTCAAGGCCCTTTAAAGTCGCTCAGGGCGTTTTTCAAGGGGCTGTTAATACCATGCTCCTCTACCAATGCTATATATGTGACCTACTCATGGAACTTGAAAAAAGTAACCTTGGTGCAAAAATCATGTGAATCAATACTTGTTCCCCTGCATATGCGGATGACATAGCATTGATAGCACTGTTTCCAGGCGTTATGAACGTTATTGGATATTTCCTTCAAGCATAGTATACGTAATAAATGGAGGTATATCCTTCATCCAGGACAATGTGTGGCATTAACACATGGCTCTTAAAGATATTTTGAATTTAGACTGGAAAATGATATCGTAAATGATGTATCCACTTCCAAATGTAGGCATTCCACTGTCAAACAGAAGATATCAATAAGGAAGAGAAAGTTGTTTTCACTCTTCGGACTTGGACATAAATCGGGAGGATTACCACCCCGTCTAGCCATAACTATACAACAGCTTTGTAATACCCACCAGGTTATACGGTGATCAGATCATTAATTACAATACACGGGAAGTAATGATGGAAGTTACCCAACAGCATGACTAATATGTAAATATATGTGACATTAATAATGCATCTCTAGGACCTCTTAAGCCAAGTGTGTGGTGGATTCTCTGTACACAGAAAATAAAACCAGAATGCCTTAAAATATGTAAAACAATGATGCGATTTTCCCCGGATTGCCACGATCCCCCGTATAAAAAATAATGGTATAAATAGTATATGTATATGTTGTGATTTGTATTAAGTTGAGTCAGTCAACCATTTTCTATTGACATGCACGAAATGGCATGAAGGGTACGCCAAATTAAGGCTGGTAACGCATAAATATAAACGCACAAGATAACGAAATAGACATTTTATTTGCCTACCCAGGTATATACGTTTCACAAGAAGACGTGATAGACATTGCTTGAATTATAGAGAACATGATGGTAAAACGATCTAAAATCATATATTTAATAATTGCTCAAGACTGATTAAACATCGCCATCTAACAATGTAAATAACAATTTCTTTGCACATCTATTTCCATCGATTACGTCGATGACATTAAAACAATTAAAATAAAGGCATTTACATGCAATATGTCACAACCTGCCTTCTGTTACGGACGCCGACCGCTAAACACCAACCGCCGAATACCGGCAACAAAAATTGGAAACTATAATAATATGCCATCTCATCTGGTGGTGACATGAAAATCAAATCGATACTAGTTTCGTTATAATGTTAATAGATGTCGTTTAATGCTAATAATTAACCATTTAGTATCTAAATTTTAATGTATATTTATTTACCTCTAATCACAAGAGAGATACAATAAGAAAGTTACTTATTGTACTGGACGTCCAATAAGTATTGCTAATTTTGCTATAACTTTTCTTTTCTTGCATTTTTATCATGGAACCTATTTTATGCATTGTAATTCGTTATAAAGTTAGATTGTTAGATACATTGATATTTGCTTCAAACACGTTTGGCAAAGAAACTCGGTTGGAATTTTCCCATAATCCATGATATGTAATACATTTCCATTATTTCCTCTTCTGGTGTCTATGATTGCATTGTCTGCCATTTAAAATGTCAGTTAAGTTAGTTATATAAGTGCAATATCATTATTACCCATTTCATGATATCATTTAGCCTTATATAGGCATTTTCTCCAAAATGTCTTGAAAATTAGTAAATATTAAACTATTGTATACAGACTTTACTACATTATTTGGGCTATATGACAAATAGCTATCAAAATGGTAAAATAACTCAATAATTTGTAAATCAATTTTTTTTCATTTGATACATAAATCAGCAATTTTGACCTCATATAATTAGAATTATATCCCCAAAGCTGACATAGGGGTTATATCTGTCTGGCCAGTTTCTAGCATTCCGTCTTCAGCAATTGATGAATCATGATTTTTACCCCCGTGGTACTCGAAATATTATTTTAAGACAAGTGCTAATTTATATGAAATGAATTATATATCATTTTGTTGGAAATTGAATTGTCTTTCCAATGATATATGATTTAAACATTTTCTGTAATAACAAAAACGTTGTAGCAAAACAAAAACGTGGACGTTTGTCGGCCCACCCTGTATATAGTAACAATAACTGTGTCAATACTAAGTTGATTGTCAGGAAATTTATTAGAATAAAGTCAGATATGTACCTTTAATTGTGAAAGTTTCATGAAGTAATAGCAAAATTAGCAATTATGTAATGTCGATTTTTTCATATACAGTAAATCGCATATACGCCCTTTCAGCATAACTGTAATCAATCGCTTCAATTCATTGTTCCTCTATCTCCTTGTAACCAAGGAAAGCAGAGAGCGGCGTTTTAGGCTCTTGTTCTATGATGACCTTTACATATAGTAAGTCATCCACAACAAATCCTTGATCTGGGTCAAGGAGCGTCTCCAAGCTCAGAAATTTTGGTATCCCAGTTGGTGTATTTGTTTCACTTACGGGCTTACCCCAAGTATTCAAAGCTTTATTTGGTCGGAACGCGTCCATATAATCCAAAGTAGGGTCCTTTTGGTTAAGGATACCAAGCGTGATTTTTTGGTTAAATGGCCAGGGGAGAAGGGCGTCAAATTCACTCTTGCACACCATGATGTAGATACTTATATGCGTGCCCAAACCCAATCCGTCCCCGTTAAGATACACTCGAAGTTTAAGTTTGTAACCTCCTCGTCGTGTATAGAACCCAGGTGATGTTATACTAGCTGGATCCCTTATTTTTGCAGCGTTGAATTTTTCTAAGAAGTTTTCAATCGGAAAAATCATAACACCATTGTGTACCACAAGTTTAAACTGGTCCATAGACGAGTCCAGACTTTTGATAGAATGTTCCTGATTGTTGATGAATTTGTTTGTTCTCTGATGATGAACGAACAGATTCTTCAAAACGTTGAAAAAATGTTTTTGAATACCACTTTCTAAGCTGTTTAATCTATTTTTCATCCACGTTGACTCATCCTTCAAAACATCCAATACACTTTCAAATGTCTGCACTTTGCGATCTGATAATTCCGATGCCTCAGCCAACAATTTGATTTTATCAGTACCTCCACTAGTATTATTTCCGGTTCCTGTTTGGCGCTCTAACCTTGATAATATATTTTTGAAACGCTCTATTGCTTCAACCATAGACTGCCATACATCGTCAGTTATAAGTTTGCAAATCTTGCATGCCTCCCTATGAGCTTGGTGTACAAATTTAAAGTGTTGCCCAGCAAACTCTCTTTTGTGTCTCTCTACATTAACGATTTCCTAAAATAAAAATATGAAAATGAAACTTTTATTTTTGGATGCATGTACAAAATGTTTTCATTATTTTGCTTAACGCAAGAAATGTGGTGCGTTACTATAAAAAACAGATTTTGAAATTGTAAACGAATTGTAAAGGACCGCGAGATGTTTGTATATTGCATTGAATCTTGGGAGCTTTTTCATGCATTTCGCTTGGTTTTCATCTAAAGACATCAATACACTTTAAAACATTTTATTGACTATAAGATTGCACCATATAATCCGAAAAAATATTACTCATTTTCAAGGATTATCTATGATTAACACCCAGGTATTGTTATTTTTCAAACTTCAGAGGGCTCGGAATCGTTATTACGATCACTTTTAAATAATGTTAATGCTGTTTTAAATAGGTTTCGTGTATACCAATAATTTCTCAAATTGTGTAAATGGTACCCCTTCCTTAATCCCAAGAATTTTCTCTTTGAGGAATTTCCCATAGGATATCATTCAGTAGCCCCAAAATATACATATTAAAAACATTTACTGAGATTTACTTAAAATAAGAATTAACTGGTTTGCGTAGCAGTATTTAAAAACAAGTGGAGGATAAAATCATGTGACTGTGTAACTCCCTGGATCTTTTTTGTTGTGAACTAATTCGGATCGTGTTGCGTGTAAATATCATTATTTTCCATTTATCTAACTTCCCAAGTTTTGTATATAGAAATGTAAGGAGTTGGTGGGGAACGGGTGGCAATTTTCACATATATAGCAGTGTATATATGTCCATAAGTAAATCAATTTGCAATATATTAATTTTCCATTAGTATATGAGTATATTACTTGTTCATAAATGATATATATGCAATATTATTATTATACAATTATTGTTGATAAAGTTACAAATATTGAACATTGTTTTTCAAGTAAAATTTCCTTGATAATGAGGACAATCTGCTTTGACACGTTCAATCTAAACTTGTCATAACTTAAACATCATTCAATGTATGTGCCATTTGAATATTAAGTTACATTTTTGCTTTATATATGTGATCTTAGATATTTTTAGGAATGAAGCTATAGTATTGGCATATACACTCCCCTCCATAAGTTTGGCAACCATAGCTTCCCCATTGAACTACGTGTTAAAGCCTCTTT